CCACAGCCCACACAACCACACCCCCCCTACCCCAGCCCCACTTACCATAAATCAGCACCCTATGGTCACGCGTTCCAAAACTGGCATAACCTGTCCCAAACATATCCTTAACCTCAACAACACTGTTCCCATCTCTCCTCTCCCGCTCACCTACCGTAGTGCTCTCAAAGACCCCAATTGGCACAATGCTATGTGTGAGGAATTTAATGCATTGATCAAGAATGACACATGGGAATTAGTACCCCCCTCCCCTCACCAAAATATCATAACCGGAAAATGGCTTTTTAGGCACAAACATGGCCCTACAGGTTAGTTAACCAGGTACAAAGCTCGATGGGTTGTTCGGGGCTTCAACCAGAGATTCGGAGTCGACTATGATGAGACATTTAGCCCTGTGATCAAGCCAGCCACCATACGTATCATTCTCAGCCTTGCTCTCTCCCGAAGATGGCCGATTCATCAATTGGATGTCAAAAATGTCATGGCCACCTGCAGGAGATTGTCTACGCCTCTCAGCCATCCGGATTCCAGGACCCCCACAGGCCCAATTATGTTTGCAGGCTCAAGAAGGCTCTCTATGGCTTGAAACAGGCACCCCGCTCATGGTACCAACGATTTGCTGGATTCATCTACACACTGGGGTTTCGAGGGTGTAAGTCAGACACCTCTCTCTTTATCTACTCTCATGGGACGGACACCGCCTACCTACTCCTCTATGTTGATGACATTGTCCTCACAGCTTCTTCCGACTCTCTTCTTCGGCGCTTGACTGCGTGCCTCAAGGGGGAATTTGCTATGACTGACATGGGTGACCTTCACTTTTTCTTGGGCATCAATGTTCATCGGACAGCTCATGGTCTCTTTCTACATCAGACACAGTTCACTCACGACATCTTTGAGCGTGCCGGTATGATTACGTGTCGTCCCATCTTCACTCCTGTCGACACGAAGGCTAAACTATCTGGCACATCGGGTTTCCTGGTAGCCGACCCTGGCCTCTATCACTCCATCGTTGGAGCCCTCCAGTATCTCACATTTACTAGGCCAGACATCTCCTACTCTGTTCAGCAGCTCTGTCTCCACCTTCACGCCCCTCGTGATGTCCACATCACAGCTATGAAGCGGGTACTACGCTATCTCCGCGGCACCTCCACCTATGGTATGACTCTTTCTCCGTCTAGCACAGATTCCCTTCAGGCCTACTCCGATGCTGATTGGGCTGGGTGCCCCGACACCAGACGATCCACATCAGGTTACTGTGTCTTCCTTGGGGACAACCTCATCTCTTGGTCCTCCAAGCGTCAGGCCACTATTTCCCAATCCAGTGCTGAAGCTGAATACCGAGCCGTCGCTAATGCCGTTGCCGAGACCAGCTGGATCCGAAATCTCCTACTAGAGGTTCAACAACCCCTACGCCGCGCCACACTCATCTTCTGTGATAACGTTAGCGCTGTTTATCTCTCCACCAATCCAGTTCAGCATCAACGCACCAAACACATTGAGGTAGACATTCACTTTGTTCGTGACAAGGTGGCCCTTGGCAAGTTCGAGTTCTTCATGTGCCATCTTCCTCACAGTACGCAGATATATTCACAAAGGGCCTCCCGTCCATATTATTTCAGGATTTCCGGACAAGCCTCGGCTAAGCGGGTGGTAGCTACGGCTGCATCGACCCTCGTACAATTTATATAAGATATAAATACAATTTATATATAAGATATAAATAACATACATATAACAAAGGTATTATAGAATCCTACCATGATTAGGATTAGGAATAGCTTGTGTATATAAACACATGTACTCCCACATTATTGTTTAAGGAAATTCATAATTCTTCAGTTACCAATTGGAGGAAGAAGATGAACAAATTGAAGAATTGGAGCTGTGATGGAGGCTGCCCACTGGAGCTACTGCCGACCGCTCGCCGGAACTGATGCTGCCGCCGGTTCGCGTCTGCCAGCCGTCCGCCATAGCAGCGGCTTGGCCGCTGCTTTATTCTCGTGTGTTTCCCCCTATTGAATTGTGCAATTTGTCTTCAATTTATAGCAATGAGGAGCTTTGGACTTACAATTTCTTCCCGTTGGAGCGTTTCGGCGATTTATGTGGAGAGACGTTGAAGGTGACATTATTGATCTGGTCTCCTCTGCTCTTGGGATGTCGCTCAAGTTCGTAGAAGAAAGGAAAAAAAATGGGACGCTGCTATTGAGTTGCTTTCCTTTTGCTCTCTTGTGCGCTGAGTTGAAACAAAAAATGTAGTGGGCTGAGTTTATTTTTTATGGGTTTGGGCTCCTACCCAAATTCAATCTTTCTTTTTTCCAAACTTGAATTCTGTTTTGGTCTTCTACTATATTTTTCTCCAAAAAATAAGATATCTGATAACGTGGGTTAGGAAAAATAAAATAATACGATGTAAAAAAATCATTAAAAGCTATAATTTTTGAAAGAAAATAAAAAGAATTTAAAAATAAGAATTAAAATAAAACTAAGCTAAACAACTAAAAATTAAACTCTAAAAGTATTAAAAATGCCTAAAAAAGAATAAAAAGAACTAACCCAAAACCGACTTATCAAATACCCCCACACTAAAGACTTGAACGTCCTCGTTCAAAAGATCAAAAAAATCATTTTAATTTTTTATCATCATCAAGAAAAACAAAATGCACCTTACACACCCACTCCAAAGACTTTATGCCCAAAACATGTTTGAAAACAAAATGAGCTACAAATCCTATAAAGATGGAGAACTAAACAATGGATATATCGGGTTCTAAAAAAAATGCTCTAAAGTTGCCACAAAAAAGTTTTCTAAGGGAATCCTATGGTCTAAAATGGCTCAATGGCAACGGTAGCAAAATTTGAAAAATAAGCCTAAAAGATAAAAAACATATAATTTTCTAAAAATAAAAGAAAACTCCTAAAATTGATTCTTAAAACTTTTAAAGATCACACAAGGTTATTAAAACAGCATCTAGATAATATGTGGATGACCAGTTCTAGAAAAAAAAATCTAAAGGAATTCCTAGAAGATTCAAACATTTTAAGGTCATTTATTGAGAAAATGGGCATTAAGACTCAAGAAGAGTTTGCAAAGAAACATTTGTTATCTTTCAGAATAAAGCACGAAAAAAAATGAAGTCTTTGGGTCAATGTTTAAAAACAATGCTCTAAATAAGGAGATATGCAACTAAGAATGAAAATATTTGGACCCAAAACCTATTTTTTTGAAGAAAAAAAATTTTTTGCCCCAAAATATGATTTCCCAAACAATAAAATGAAAACCTCCCCCCACACTTAAGTCATGCATAGTCCTCAATGCATCTATATGATATGCAAATAAAAAACAATGATATATCCAAGAGAATGAGCCAAGAGAGAAGAGGATGGGGAGAATGCAACAAAAAGAAAGGATGGGAAATGCAAATTAAAAAAAAGTATACGCAGCATCAGTTCATCATTCCCATCCTATTGTGCTCGATGGACCTAAAATCTGCAAAAAGAAGGCTAAGACCAAGTTTTTTAGCGTTGAAGAACAAAAAATCAGATTTCAAATATATAGATTTTTTCTTCTAATTTAGCACATATAAGCCGTGAAAAGTGTAAAATTTTCATTCTGTACTAAAAAAAACAGCTTACAAAGTGCATATTTTCAATTTATAGCCCAAAAATCTAATGAAGCAAAACCAATTTTTTATGGTTTGTAGCTCAAATCAACTTAAAAGATGCAGAATTTTTAAGTTTTCGGCCCAAATAGGATCAAGTCTAAACACCCAAAGCTTAAGAAAATAGAAAATTGATAGTATACCAATACCCGGGCACTTAGAACTCTTGTTTCAAAATAGATTTGAACCCAACCGTGCAGAATTTTACTCCAAACACCTATACTTCCACCTAAAACTCAATAAATCTTGCAAAAGCTCTCAAAGTAGATGGTTAGAAGCACAAGTAGAAAAAAAACAATTAAACTCAACAAGATCACTTTTTTTGTTTTGATTTTATACTTTTTTTGTTTTTTTTCAAAAACTAAATGAAAGAGAAAGAGGAAAAAAAACCTAATCCTATAATTACAACAAGTACTACTAGATCGATATGAAAAAAAAAAGTTACAAGAAAAGTAAGTTGGTAATTTAAAGAAAGAGAATAAAAACCAAATTAACGACCACAAGGAAAAAAAATTAAGTACAACAACAACGAGTTAAAGTTAGAAATAAACATACGGAACTTAAAGAAAAAAAATATAAAAAATGCTATAAAAGTAAGTGGGTTATGATAAAAAACATAGAAAAAGGGAGAAAAAAATGCAATCAACAACTAAAAGAGAGAAAAAAATACAACAGTTTAAAGTTAGGAGTAAAAAGAACTTTTTTTTAAAAAGAAAAATGAAACAAAAAAACTTAAAAAGAAAGTGGGTTGCCTCCCATAAGCCGCCCGATTTAACGTCTTTGGCTAGACACAGCTTACTACTTGACAATACATATCTTCTCTTAAACCATCAAGTAGTAAAGTAAATGTGTTTCTTTAAAACAACAAAAAAAATAAGTAAAATTAAGAATTCTGCTTTTGTTTCCACTTCTATAAATAATAACACTTGAAGCTTAGTTGGGAAACAAAATTTAGATTCTATGTGCAGATTAAACAAGGCACAAATTTAAAAATCAGATCCTTAGGTGAGTCTTCACTTTGAGACCAAAGTTCAGCAAAAAGGGATCAAAATTCTATTTGCACAACCAAGCTAGAAGCTTATAAGATTAGTTCCTGTGCAAAATTTAGCAAGAATAGTTCAAATTTCAGAAGTATAAGCACTTAGAGAACTCAAAATCAGCTTGGTTTTAAGCAAAATGTTGCAGATTTTTCCACAAAAACAGCAGTGTAGGTCTGAATTTTAGCAAATTCAGCTTCAAAACCAAAAAATCAGCATATAAACATCATGATATGCTTCTAAATATTGTCCCTAATCAAAATATAGCAATCATGGTTCATATTTCAAGCATAGGAGCATATATTTAGAAGCATATGAGCAGTTCTAGAGACAAAAATCAGCACATACATTAAATTAAAAAGTGCAGATTTTTAGAAAAATCAGCAACTTTAAATCAAATTTTAGAGCAATGCTGTTTTTTTCGTTCTCTTGCAAAACAATTATCCGGATGCATAATTGACATATATCACCAAGAATCCACAAGTAAAAGTTTTGAACATGGTGCTCAGTTTGCAAATTTAGAAGTAAATATTCAAGATTTAGCAAAAATCAACTTTAAGAGCAAAACTTCAGCATGCAAACTAAGAATTTAAGTGCAAGTTTTTTAGCAATCACTCTGGACAGAGAGTCATTTGTGAAAAAAAACACCATAGCTCATTCAAATCAACACATAGCCAGTCTTAGCAACAATCAGCAAGCAAGAAAGCACAAAATAATGTTCAAAATGCAGATTTTCTGAAAAATGGTACCAAATTCTTCACAAAATAGCATATTGATCACAAATTTCAACATAAACACAAAGAACATTGCTGATTTCAATTTACTCTAGCTTTCCTAACCTCAATTCTAGAAATTAAAGGAAACAGATATGAACAAAAGAAAGAAGCTACTTCTAGAACAAATTTTCTAACAAACAAAGAACAGAAGCACATGCTAAAATGATTTCTTACAATACTTTCCCCGGCAACGGCGCCAAAATTTGTTGAGGACTTGTCGTGCGGTCCAAAACAAATTAAAAATTTATAAATAACCTTAGCTAACCCCCAATATATAATCAAATAAAAACAATAACTAGGGCAAGTAAGGGTCGATCCCACGGAGAAAGTTTGTATTTTTTAAAACCATTTTAGTATGCGAATACGTTGTCAAGAAAATAAATATAAAAATAAAACTAACTACTACACATATGATAACACTTATAAAACATATAATAAAAACTTATAAATATAACTTATATAAACAAAGAACTTATAATGTAACTGAAACACAACACAAAGGGGGGGGTTGAATAAAAAGTAAATATTTTTTGGTTTTTTATATTTTCTTATTTTTTTGGTTTTTTGATTAAATGGGGGAAAACAAGCTCTAAAGATAATCAACTCTTTCAACTACGGTAACCCAAAAAACACCGCCAAGAACCCGAAACAAAATGAAAAAGAGAACAAACACAAATTGAACATTACACGTATAATAGGCACTTAGACAATATATTACGTAACTTACGCACTTAAGAATAGAAAAATCAACCAAAGGCCGAGTCGATTCATTTCCTTAACCACGATATGGAGGATTGTCAACTCTCCACACGGCCCGGAGTCATGTAATTCAAAGGCCCATTTTGAAATATACCTTAGAACCCCAACTCACCAATCAAACATGAAAACATACTTCCACTATAGAAAAAGTTTATAAAAGAGCGATTTTTTTTTCATTCTAACTCTCATGCATAATATATTCACAAACCGCCAATAACTTATGCATTTTAATAAACTTTTTCTCCTAATGATGAGCACATTTCACAGATTTCCAAGAACTTCTCAAACCAATGACGTTTTTCTATTCACATAGATGAACACAACATATTTTCAATAAATCAAGAATTGTTTTTGAGCGTAAACAACCTTAATTTTATGAAAATAACAAACAAACACAGAAAACATAACAATCACTTAATAACGAATTCTAAGAAAAATGAATCAACTTATGGGACTAAAAAGTCCAAAATTCTTAAAATCAACAAACACAAATCACAAAAAAGATTTACGTATGAATTCAGAGTTCATTTAACTACCTTATGGAGCTAAAATAGCTTCAACAAAAACCGAATTCCACATACCAACCTACTTATGAAATCAAATTATACAATTCAACCAATTCAACAGCAACTTGCTCAATAATTGATGAAAAACTAGTATGAATCAATTCTCATTCATAAGGGATTTAATATAGACATTAAAAAAACAAAAAGAAGAACACCAACCATTTTTTAGAATATTTGGAACAAACACAACAAGCAAAAAAATGTGAAAATTGAACAAAAAGAAAACTTTTACATAGAATTGGAGAAAAAAAGATAAAATTGACAAATAAGAGTTACCAATTGGAGGAAGAAGATGAACAAATTGAAGAATTGGAGCTGTGATGGAGGCTGCCCACCGGAGCTACTGCCGACCGCTCGCCGGAACTGATGCCGCCGCCGGTTCGCGTCTGCCAGCCGTCCGCCATAGCAGCGGCTTGGCCGCTGCTTTATTCTCGTGTGTTTCCCCCTATTGAATGGTGCAATTTGTCTTCAATTTATAGCAATGAGGAGCTTTGGACTTACAATTTCTTCCGGTTGGAGCGTTTCGGCGATTTATGTGGAGAGACGTTGAAGGTTGCATTATTGATCTGGTCTCCTCTGCTCTTGGGATGTCGCTCAAGTTCGTAGAAGAAAGAAGGAAAAAAAAATGGGACGCTGCTATTGAGTTGCTTTCCTTTTGCTCTCTTGTGCGCTGAGTTGAAACAAAAAATGTAGTGGGCTGAGTTTAATTTTTATGGGTTTCGGCTCCGGCCCAAATTCAATTTCTCTTTTTTTCAAACTTGAACTCTGTTTTGGTCTTCTACTAATATTTTCTCCAAAAAATAAGATACTCCCTCCGCCCCCCTGTATTTGTCCACATTTGACTTTTGGAACTGTTCATCTAAGCATTTTGACTCATCAAATTCTCTCAATGTGTAAGCCTAAATATAGTCTAAAAACTAAGCTAAACAACTAAAAATTAAACTCTAAAAGTATTAAAAATGCCTAAAAAAGAATAAAAAAGAACTAACCCAAAACCGACTTATCACCTGCCCAATCAGCATCAGAATATGCCCGCATATGATCCGTCTGAGAAGATGATATGGTGATGCCATGGGTAGGTGTACCATGTAGATAGCGCAAAACGCGCTTCATAGCTGTAACATGTGGCACACGAGGATCATGAAGAAATAGGCAGAGCTGCTGCACGGCATATGTGATATCTGTGCGGGTGAAGGTGAGATACTGCAGTGCTCCCACAATAGAGCGATATAGAGAGGGATCTGGCGCTGGAGGACCGACCGTGGCCGAAAGCTTCCCGCGGGTGTCCACAGGTGTAGAGACAGGTTTGCATGAGGTCATGCCGGCCCGTTCGAGGATATCATAGATGAACTGAGTCTGAGTGAGGAACATGCCGTGAGAGGTCCGCTGGACATTGATCCTGAGAAAGAAGTGAAGGTCGCCCATATCTGTCATAGCAAACTCCCCTTTTAGTCGTGCTGTGATCCGGTGAAGGAGGGCAGTAGATGTGAGGACAATGTCATCAACACAAAGCAGAAGTAGTGCCATGTCCTGGCCGCGATTGTAGGCAAACAAGGAGGTGTCGCTCTTACACCCGTTGAAGCCAAGAGAGAGGACAAATCCCGTGAATTGCTGGTACCAGGATCGGGGTGCTTGTTTGAGTCCATAAAGCGCCTTATTTAATTTGCAGACATAATGTGGGCGAGCAGGGTCCTAAAATCTCGAAGGCTGAGCGGTGTAAACAGTATCTGAGAGGTAGCTTTGCAAGAAAGCATTTTTGACGTCGAACTGGTGGATCGGCTAACCTCTGGACACGGCGAGGCTCAGGACGATGCGTATAGTGGTCGGTTTGACAACTGGGCTGAAGGTCTCGTCGTAGTCGATGCCATGGCGTTGATTGAACCCACGAACAACCCATCGAGCTTTGTACCTGGACAGTTCACCTGTTAGGCCAAGTTTGTGGCGGAAGAGCCATTTATCGGAGATTACATTTTGGTCGGGGGAGGGGGGTCTAGATCCCATGTATGATTAGCAATCAAAGCATTATATTCATCTAGCATAGCATTGTACCAGTTAGGATCTTTGAGAGCAATACGGTAGGTAGGGGGTATGGGGGAGATGGAAGCAACGGTGTTTAGGTTTAGGATTTGTTTGGGGCAAAAGATGCTGGCCTTGGCTCGGGTGACCATAGGATGGGAGGGGGCTGTCGGGTTTGG